AGGTAAAGTGACTAGTTTAATGCGCGGCATCCAGCCTCTTAACACAGCAAACAGGCGTTAGTCTCTCTCTGTTTTCACTGGAGGTAACATCTTGCTTGGAGACTCTTCAACTAAACGCTTTTTTTCTGTGTTTCCAAGCAAATTATTGGTCATTTTGAAATATATTTTACATATTGACAATATATAATGCAGTGCAGTGTTGGTTTAAAGAAAATAATCTTGAAATACACCAAGAGAACTAAAATTTTATGGGTGAAATGGTGCCATGGGGTGACTTCTCTTCCACCCCAATGCCTTCTCTTCTTCGTTCTCCTCCACCCCCATTCTAATTCCCATCATCATCATCATCATCATCATCCAGGAGCCTTCTACATACACACCTCAAAGAAAGTGAACTTTTCTACCATTTTTGTTGAATTTAGGAAATTTTCGGTGAGCTGGAACCAATTACCCAAAAACCCATTGAAACAACGGTTTCGGTTAACGAACGACCTTCTGGAACAGATTGAGTTCGTTAACCGAGGGGTCACTGTAATTGAAGGTAAAGTGACTAGTTTAATACGCGGCATCCAGCCTCTTAACACAGCAAACAAGCGTTAGTCTCTCTCTGTTTTCACTGGAGGCAACATCTTGCTTGAGACTCTCTTCAACTAATTGCTATTTTTCTGTGTTTCCAAGCAAATTATTGGTCATTTGGAAATTTATTTTACATATTGACAATATATAGCGCAGTGCAGTGTTATTTTAAAGAAAATATTCTTTATTTACAACAAGTTTAACTTTAAAAAACACGTGTTGACATTGTTTGAATCCAGCATGGGGCCTAAGAGATCAAGAAAAGCGATTTCAATCCAAACCAAGCAGGAAATAAAAAAAAAACATGAACAAGGCATTAGAACAAATGCGCTATGCAAAGAATATGGCATGTCGGCATCAACTGTGTTGACAATTCTTGCACAGAAAGACAAATTTAAAGAAGTGAAAGTGAGAGAAATCTACAAGAGTGTTTAAAAGTAGATCCCTAATTGCAGAAACTGAGAGGTTACTTCTCATCTGGATTAGGGAAAAACAGATGAAAGGTGATTCAGTTTCTACTGAATTCATTTGTGAAAGAGCCAGGGAGATTTACGAACATTTAAAGACAGATCAACCTGGTTCTTCAGGCACAGAATTTGAAGATTTTCGGGCCAGCAAAGGCTGGTTCGAAAAATTTAAGAAAAGAAGTGACATTTTCAGTGTTGCTAGGCATGGTGAAGCTGCTAGTGCTGATAAGGAAGGGGCAGCAAAGTTTTTAGATGAATTTAAAGAACTGATGGAAGAAGAAAATTATCTTCCACAACAAGTGTTCAATGTGGACGAAACTGGGCTGTTCTGGAAAAAGATGCCCAAAAGAACATTCATCACCAGAGATGAAGCCTCTTTACCTGGGCATAAACCCATGAAAGACCGTCTCACTCTATTGCTTGGTGCCAATGCTTCAGGGGATTTCCGACCAAAGCCTATGCTTGTCTACCACTCTGAAAACCCCAGGGTGTTCAAGCAACAGAAAGTGGTAAGAACAAAGCTTGGAGTTTATTGGAAGTCCAACTGTAAGGCATGGGTGACAAGACAGCTCTTTAATGAATGGGCTGTTGATGTGTTTTGCCCTTCTGTCAAGAGCTACCTAACCACCAATAAACTCCCTTTAAAGGCTCTTCTCCTCATGGATAATGCACCTGGTCATGACCCTGACCTAGCCAGCAATTTGGAGTATCAATTTGACTTTGTGAAAGTGTTGTTTTTGCCTCCAAACACTACATCAATCATACAGCCAATGGACCAGAATGTGATCAACAACTTCAAGAAGTTGTACATGAAGAAAATGTTTAGGTGTCATCAGGCAACTTCCAATGATCCTGAACTAACACTGAAACAGTTCTGGAAGACACAATTCAACATCCTGAAGGCTGTAAAATTGATTGTGTCATCATGGCAAGAAGTCTCCACTAGATCCCTCAATTCTTCATGGAAAGCACTGTGGCCATCAGTAGTCCATGATTTTGAGGGATTTGAGGAAGAAACAGAGTTGGACCAGGAGATTGTGTCCATTGGTCAGTCATTGGGCCTTGAAGTGGAGGAGGATGATGTGGAAGAGCTTGTGATGTCTCATGAGGAGGAACTTACTCCTGATGACTTGAAGCAACTGGATGAGATGTTACAGGTAGAGGCTGACAGTGGTGAGGAGGAAATTGAAAGTGATGACCATATATCAGCTAAACAGTTGAAAGATGTGATTTACTACTGGGAGAAGTTCAGGCAACTGGCTTCAAAGCACCCAGAAGTGGAAAAAACTGAACTAACTTTGTGTCATGTTGAGGACTCAGTGGTCTTCTTTAAACATAAGTTAATGGTGAGGAGGAGAGATGGCCCCACAGACCACAATTGACACTTTCTTCAGTAAAAGGCAGAGGGAACAAGATGCTATCCCTCAGCCTTCCACTTCAAGGAGAGAGGATGATGC